ACAAGAAGAAAAACGGCAAAAAAGGTAACTATTCCAAACCTGTATATATTATCAATGCTAGATAAATGCTGTTTTAATAAAATATCTTGGCAATTTATATTTAACGTGAAACGATGTTTACTTACTTTTATTTTCATGAAATAGATTTATACAATAGATGAATCTGTTTCTGCATTATAATCTGGTGAGTCCATGATTAAGATTTTGTGAAAAAAAAAAAAAAAAAAATTTGAGCACCATAAAAATCCGCAGCAAATACTTCAACAATGTGACGTAGATAAATGACCTCCTCATTATTTGTTTGTTTTTCATCGTTCAAACGCCTTCAAAGCTGCATACAGCGCATGTTTTTACTTAAAATTTTAAGACAAACCCTTCATATGACATATCATGCAAAACTTCAAAAGAGAGAGTAATTCCCTCCTTAAAACCTAATCCAACCATATCTACTCCATTCATCAGTGCATAAGTTTAATACATTTAATTTAATCAATGCTAATAAAAAATAAAAAAAAAAATGGTGCAAATCAATGGTGGAGAAAAAATGTTGTCCGTACAATTACCCAAAAAAAAGTCTTCTCTCTTAATGAGTCATCTCTTTCCACAATGCTTACTTTAGTTGAAGACGAGGCGAAAATAGAAAAATGCCTCAAAAAATATCTTCAAGGAACAAAAGTTCTTGATTGGAAATACGAAAATGCTATTAGGGAAATACTTGACCTCGGATTTCAGCCTTATGAAGTTGAAACAGATTTGAAAAAGCTTGGTGGAATGTACAGATCTCTTATACAACATATGAAAGATGAGCATTGGGAAACATATTCCAAAGATGAGAACCAAAAAATCACAAATACTATTGAACATATGGAGTTCCTCAGTACAGCTGCCCCGATAAAAAAACTTTTAAAAGAAAAGAAATACCAAATTGGATACAAACAAAGTCTTGAAAACGTAGTCCTTGATGCTAGAGAAGAAGAAGAATATAAGAAAGAGAAAAAGGCTGAAGAAAAGAAATTCGATAAACTATCCCCCACAAAGAAGTTTGCTCACCTTGCCAAATACTATGGTGAAAATGGAGTTCTTGACTTAAATACAGCTAATATTCCCAAAAGATTTTCAAAACAGTTGCGTAATATGAAATCAGAGTGCAATATAGTTCTACAACCTTTGGTCACGCTTGAAGAACGAGAAATGTTAATAGATATTTCAAGATGCCAAAACACAGCTGATGTCGAAAAACTTTTAACTACATGGTACAGCAAATACGACTTTATGTCAAACTGCAGATTTATTAGATTCGCTCTGGCTGCCGGCTTAGAAATTTGGAATTCAAAGGCTTTAACAAAAAAAGGACACGGGGAGGATTGGTTCAGGATGCATCTATATTCAAATGTATGGGACAAAGCATTTTTTGACGATGACGAGTTTGAAACAAAACGTTCAGAATGTCTCAGTCAAGTGATGAAAGTTTTAAAAGAAATCGATGGAGATACCAGACTACAAAGGCTTGATTTTATATTACGTGATCTCAATACGGATAATGATGTAATGACGGCGGAAGAAAAGCCAACCTTGAAAGGAGTGAAAGCTGATATCAAAAAGGGAGAACAGTTGAAAAAAAAACACTCTATATCTTTGGTCCAAACAGGTTAAAAGTGATGTACTTATGGAAGAACTAGAAGCTATATCCTGTCAGTGGCAAGGAACCAATTTGACTATCTACGGTTCTCGTTTACTATCTTCTGATCTAATTTTAACCTATAAGAAAGGTACTTTTCATATACCAGTGTCTGTAAGACATCTCCCTGAGTTCTCTAAACTGTTAATGGCTGTTATTTCATTGAAGCGCATAGTAAAGCTCAACTATACTAAATTTACTTTAATTTTGAAAGAAAAATACAAGAATGAAATCGAAAACTTAGTTTTTGATGAAGAGTTTTTGAATGAAGTAAGTTTTATAAGCAACAGCACAGATAGCAACAATGGGGAAGCCGAGACTGATGAAGATGAAAAAAATAATGATGACTTTGTCGAAACAACTTTGGCAAAAATAAAAAATTTGAAGATGGACGAAAAAGGTCTGAAGAAATTTTCCAATTGGGAAGATTTACTATTGCATGATCGTACAAAGCGCCGAAGAATATAGCTATTTGTTGTAAATAAAGGGAATACACTTATGTTATACAGAATGATAATTATGTTAGTAATTTAATATTAGTGCAAGCAGCTTATTCCTATTGGAATTAATATACACGAATTGGTTAATAAAATAATAATACAAGAGAATCATTTATAGAGCATTATCATACAATAGCTAATAAGCATTCATCTATTCATTATACCGGTAATTCACTATGGTTACAACAGGTAGTAAATAGCCAATCTGATTTTAGATACAAAAAATAAGCTATGTGAATGAGATCAAGAAGTACAAATAACCCGAAATCAATTATACTCTGTTCTTATGAAGACAAGCTTGACTAATCAAACAGCTGCCGAAGTGGAAGAAGAAAATGAGGTGGTAAAAGGCTCTTTCGTGCCACGCTCTATTTTCAGACAACATAAAAAAAAAATTCGGCTCCTATTTCTTTAGATCTTTGAGCGCTGCTAACTCATTTTTTCTATTCGCCTTGAGAGGGAAACAGCAGCGAAGAAAACCAGTTGAAAGTTGAAGGGCGGGTGACTACTTCATCTTCTCCTTCCACTTCGGCAACTGTTTGATCGGAAGTCATACTTATCCCAATCATTGTTGCTTCCGTTCCAGGTTCCGATGAGGTGGTAGTGTTTTCCGTAGTAGAAAAAATGGTGTTGCTGATTGCTTGGCTTTCTTGAAATTTGTTGAAAGGTTTATAATAGCATTCTCGAAGGTGTCTGAGTTGCTTGATCAATTCACATGTCCCTTTACTTGTTCAATCTTATGACCATGTATTACTGCCCACGTACTTGCTGCTGCTCTCAGTGAATGTGGTTTGTATATCTTAGTGTCAATGCCAGCTTCTTGCATTTTTTGTTGTAACCATGATGCGGCGGTTGCTGCTTTGATGGAATGTGCTTGTTCGTCCTTTTCAATCTCTGTCAGAAATAATGTGTGGTCGTCTGGCAAACCATGATGTAGGCTTGCTGTACGATCTATAAATTCTGCTAAGGTTCTCACAAGACAATCTCTTCTTTTGCTTGCTCTGCTGTTCCAATCTAGATTATCTTCCATTGGCTTTCTTTTGGTTCTCTTGATGTTAAGGATGCCCCAAGTAGTTGTCCGTCTTCCGACCAGGGAAAAGCTACATCTCTATATTGTAGCCTGCCGAGGTCCGAGCGAGGTCGCATCATAGACGCGATGCCGATCCAGACAACTGTTTCTTTTGTAATTTCGTAAGATCCAAGCGTACATTTGGCCCCATCCACGAACGTAGGTAATTAGTTGCTGTATGTCCCAAATCTCTCATTTTATCACGGTTGGAATCTTCACTTCTGATTTTCGTTTGGCTTGAAAAAATGAGACGATCAGCGGGTTTTCTGCAATATGGCGCTTGTCTTCGTGGATAATATTGAAAATCGAGGCTATTAATGATCGATAGACATTTAAGGTCAGTGCGGACAGATGTGCATGTACATGCAGGAGGCGATACACTGATTTTGGATCGTAAGCTAGTGGATCTATTCCATGCTTATTGCACTAATTCGATCAAACTCTCCATCCATGACCGTATGCTTTGTGTGTCTTTGCCCTTGTCGACTGCGTCAAAAAATCTACATCTTCAATCGTTAATCCTTCTGCCATCCTCTTCTGGAAGATAACATCCATGCGACTAAGGACCATTAGGATGATTGAGCCTCGTTGGTATTGGTGCCCTCAGTTGTCTCATCCTCATTAGTAGGCTCCACCAATACTGGGTTGGCCACAACGGCGTAATTAATACTGCTTCCTTGACTTTGTCTTCTTTTATCTTTCTCAGAATCTTGGGGATCAATCTCCATGGTGGGTTTAAGTACAGTCCCTTCTTTGGCCGCTTTTGATGAAATGCGTCGATTACTTGTGCACTGGGGTCTGGAAGCTGGCTCCAGTACACAGGTAGCTTCTTGTTCTGCCTCGCTGCAAACGCATCTATCTTGAACTTGCTGAATCCCCATTGCTTTCTTATATGGTTGAACCATTTCCATGGTAACGCCCACTCGTACAGAGGTACTTTCTTTCTGCTGAGGCGATCTGCCACTGTGTTCTGGATTCCAGGAATATGGTGACAGGCCAGTCTCACGTTGTAGCTGTTGCATATTGCTTGAATTTAAATCATTAGTTCTTGAAGAAGCTCTGACGATGTTCCCTCTGTCTTGTTCACATACTTCAATGCTGTCATATTGTCCGAGTATATCTGCAGGATCGAATCCTTGTACTGTAGAAGATGAACCTGTAGTGCAAATAGGATGGTTTTTAACTCGCGAACATTTATGCCGTCTTCTTTTTCTTCTGCGAACCAAAACCCTGCTGTTTGGGCTGAAGCTGAACTTACTCCCCAACCGGAGTCGGAAGCGTCGACATAGATGGTTAGATCTGGTGTTAGTGGTTTGTGTCGAATTGGAAGACCATTCTTCAATGGAGCCTCTTTTAACCACCATTCCAGCTCTTGCCGACTTCTCTGGCTTATCGGACATGGTGCATTCCAATTGTTGTTGCGTAACCTGAGTGCTCTTGCTAGGTCCCTCTGTAGAAATTTCACATGAAGAAGTGCTTCCCCAATCGTCGGTATCATGGCAGTTATCTTCCCAATAAGGCTCGCTACCCATCGACATGATTTCTGTTCTTTGCTGTTCAGCAGTTGTCGAATCCCGATATTTAATTTTTGAATTTTTACATGTGGAACTTGTATGGTCATGTCTTTAGAATTGAACAGGAAGCCAAGGAACGACTGTGCTCGTTGAGGTACCAAGATGCTCTTCTCTCTGTTGATCAGAAAACCCAATTGTTCTAAATGAGCTATCATCTTGGATATGTGTTCTTGCATTTCTTTCTTCGTCTTCGCTAGCATACATATGTCGTCGAGATAAAAGACAAATCTGATTCCGGTCTTGCGTAATGGTTCCAAGACGTACTCCATGATCTTGGAGAAAACCCGAGGCGCCACATTGAGACCAAATGCTAGACCCTTGTATCGGTATATCACACCTTGATGTAAAAAGGTCAAAAAATCGCTGGAGTTCTGGTGTATTGGCACTACTACATATGCATCTTTTAAATCTATCTTGCTCATGTAATCTTTCTTGTCTAACAACTCTCATAATGCTGATACACCCTCCATTTTGAAGTGATTGCATTGAATGTACTTGTTCAAGCTCGTGCAATCCAATATTGGCCTGCGTTTGTTTGGTCCTTTCACGGTAAAGAATTTTGATAGGTAGCTCTTGCTCTGAGACGAGGAACGTTCGATTATACCTGAATTCAAAAATTTCTTCACTGCTTCGTCCACTGCTACTTGCTTCTCTTCCGTGAACTTCATCGGAGTATATTTCCATATTCGAGGTTTGTGGTTCCACTGAAGTTGATATCCTTATGTTACTACTGACACAGGCCATGAATGAAGTATTGTCCGTTTCCATTGCTCTGAGAAACGCTGGAGGAGGCCTCCTGGTAATATACCATCGTTTGGCATGGTGTAATGCGCCGCTGTTGTGAGGAAAGACGTTGGCGTTGATGGCGGTATTATTGGGGTTGGTTGGAGCTTTGTGCTTCCGTGTGTATTTGGCTCTTGCCGCGTCCAAAAAAAGACCTGTGAAAGGTTCCACGGCCCCTGGCAACAATGATTGGGATAAATATGACTTCCAGTCATTTTTTTTGTAACGGCCAATTTCATTTTTCTGTGATCGCCAATTGCTTTTTTTGTAAGCGCCAATATCCACTAGCCTAACTGTATTACTGGATAAATTTAATAATTCAATTTCCAGTGCGCCATAGTGCCTGTTCCTCCACTATTTCATGTGCAAAGCTTCAACAAGACTTCACAGGTCTGCAAGCCACTGTCAGCCTAACTAGCTTCACCAGATAACGCACGAAAATGTTCTTACGATTAGAGAAAGTTGAAGCTTTCAAGTAAGCGTTTATATCCAATGAGAGTACCAACAAACAACCTAGCATTTCACAGTGAAGCACAATTTTTTGAAGTTCCAAACCATCCAAACGCTTCCCCTCCAACTCCAAGGTCATTGACCTTGGTAGTTTTATTATGGAAGCTTATTTCTATATAAACACCTTTGGTATTCTTTAATTAATGAAAAAACCATTCAATAAATCCTCAAGTTTCTTGAATCAAAACTCCCTTTTTACTTTTCCTTTTCTTAAAAACTTTCTTTTATTTTTTTTACTTTTCTTATTTTGATCTAGCATCTAACTTGAATCAAACTTTAACTTTTAAATCTTTTTATATCTGAGCATCCTTTCAGGCCAATCAAAACTTACCTTACACGAAATTCCTTTTATATCTTTATTGGTAAAACTCTTAAACCCAAAAACATACAAATTACAACAGTGACGACAATTGTCCAGCTCTTTTGGACCATGTACTTAGTTATTTGTATTGGAAAGTCGCCTTGGATGATACAAATGATGCCAGATGTATGCTGTTAAGTGTATTCTGCGACACGGCTGATCATGATGAATACGGATCAAACCATAACTCGCTGCCAAAAGCGTCATCCTTACTACTATTACAAATTGTAGCTGCCCAACTTGACTCATGAAGTTACTTGACCAAATAGGCCATGGCACTATTCCTCACTGCTTATGCATCTGCAAATTATAAAAATGACACTGAAGGTTGAAATTTACTCAAAAATAGTGTTACTGAGATTCCCGTTAGTCGCCCAATGCCAATGTCTCAATGTACTACCAAGATATATTTAAGCAAGGCAGTAGGCCACGTTGAAAATTATCTGAATAAAGCAAATCAAACAGTTGCCAAAATGGAAGGAAAGGATGAGGTGGCCATCCGCCCTTCAACTTTCAACTGGCTTTCTTCAATACTGTTTTCCTCCAGAGATAGATGAAAAAATGAGTTAGCAGCGCTCAAAGATCTGAAGAAATAGGAACTGAAAAAACCTTTTATTATATATTATCTGAAAATAAAGCGTGGCACGAAAGAGCCTTTACCACCCCATCTCCCACTTCGGCAGCTGCTTGAATTTCAAATGCAAATCGCTGTTGGCGTTAGATAAATATTTGGCGATATTTCTTTTGAATTGCTGGGGTCGCTGGGACCACAAGCGATGGTTGAAAAAAAGTCTTTTTCTTCCTTGGCGATCGCTCCTGTCAAAATTGTATTCCGTAATTTTAAAGGGAAACACTACATGCACCAGAAGTTAGCCCAATTCTACGGGCACTATATCTGCCCATTACCTATGATGCCTTCCAACAAAACCTTTGAGTGTGTGGCGCCGCGCTGAGCATGGCTTTATAAAGCTACCGACTTGTTTTGTTTCTCTTCAAGAAGAAATAAAAAGAAATGCTGTTATTTATTTATTCTAATTTTATATTGTCAGTTGATCAAAAATGACCACTTTTGATAAATTCGTCCTTACATTATTTAGCCTATTTTCTAGTGTATTTTCTGGTTCACCGATTTTAAATATACAAATTTTTGAGTGTGGATACGAACGAAGGCAATTGGTGTAAATATTCTGGTATGGACAGGTTGCTGATATGTTTGGCTATAAAGACACTGTTGATTTTCTTTACAGCAAACATGTAACCACGCAAGCCTATGAGCTCTTTAAATAGTCAACAGCCCTATTATTTAGATATATGTACAAAAAACAGTAGAGGATCAATTTACTAGCCCATGCCAAGTGTATAAATGTCTTTAGAGTCATTTTCAAAAAGGGGCAGTTCAAGAAGTTTGCTGAGAATGGCTTTGTTCATTCTGATATTTTCTGCTTGCTGAATCAGGCATTGCTCCTGAGTAACTTTTTTTCGCTTCAACAAACCTTTTGACTGCGCAGAGTCAAGTTAAGATTATTCAGGGAATAGTCATTTCTTCATGTTTCTTGATGTAAAAAGAGACTTTTATAAGAAAAAAAGATAAAATGTGGTTTTTGCTGTATTTCAATTTTTTATGTTGTCAGTTTGATCAAGAGCCAAGAGTAATTATGATAAATTCGTATTTTACATCAATGATATCCCGCTGGACGGCCTTAGGTTAGGTAGACACTATGGTAGTGTGAATTTATATAGTGTCCCAAGGAAGCGCCCGTAGCATTAGCCATCTCAAGAAAGTTTGAATGCACCAAGTGTTTCCCTGTACAAAAATATCTTCAAAGATTCTAATTACACAAAGATTATCAAATACAATGTAGAATTCGGCAACTTTAAAAAAAAAGAATGCTACGATTGGCTTATGTCCTTACACTGTAAGCTCACATACCAAAATGAAAGCTTAATGGTTAAAAAAAGTAAATAAATACAAGCTCGACTATTCTCCCCTCTTTAATACTGTTGTACTTTTACCGCTTTAAATGATAAACACTATAACTTAAACGTGTTATTCCGCGCCCGGGAAAAAACATGGATGAGAAAAAAAATCTCCACTATTTTCTCCTTTTCCCCGTTACGCATGAATTTAATTAGTTTGACTTTTTTGAATATAAAAAGACTCTTTCCCCCCTTACTCTTATTTCTTTACTTTTCATCTTTAAAAAATGGTTCAGGCTTTGAATGACTGTGTTATCACTCGCTATGAAGTCCGTGATATCCGTTTCCCAACGTCAAAGTTTTTGGATGGTTCTGATGCTATGAACAAAGACCCTGACTATTCTGCTGCCTATGTTATCTTTTATACTGACTCAAGGCTCGAAGGACACGGCATGACCTTTACTTGTGGACGTGGAAATGATGTAGTCTGTGCTGCTATTGAACAACTTGCCTTGAAATTCGTCAATCGAAAACTGAGTGACCTCGTCTCTGACATGCGTGCTACTCATCGTATCTGTACAGGTGACTCGCAACTTCGATGGATTGGTCCTGAGAAAGGTGTTATCCATTTGGCCACTGGTGCTGTCATCAATGCTATCTGGGATCTCTGGGGGAAGGCTGTAAACAAGCCAGTGTGGAAGTTGGTGGTTGACATGACTCCCGAAGAATTTGTACAGTGCATTGATTTCCGTTACATCACAGATGTTATTACTCCTGAAGAAGCCATCAAGATGCTACGCGAACTTGAGCCCACCAAGGCTCAACGGGAGGCCGAAATGCGTGAACATGGATATCCAAGCTATACAACATCTGCTGGTTGGTTAGGTAAGTCTTAGGATGGAACTCTCTAGCAAGAAGATTGACCTATTGTATATAGGATATAGTGACGAAAAAGTTCGAAGACTTATTCGTGAAGCCAAGGCACAGGGATTCACACACTTTAAGCAAAAGGTCGGAGGAGATAAGGAAGCAGATATCAGACGTGCCGCTATTATTCGTGAAGAAATTGGTGATGATGGCGTATTGATGATGGACGCAAATCAGGTCTGGGATGTCCAAGAAGCCATTGACTGGATGCAAGATCTTTTACAGTTCAGGCCTCTCTTTATTGAAGAACCCACCTCACCCGATGATGTCCTTGGTCATGCCGCGATTCGTAAAGCGCTTCATCCTCGTACTGCGGTGGCTACTGGTGAGCACATCCAGAACCGTATTATCTTTAAACAGTTATTCCAAGCCCAAGCTATTGACTATTGCCAAATTGACTCATGTCGTGTTGCTGGTGTAAATGAAATCCTTGCTATCTTGCTCATGGCCAAGAAGTTCAATATTCCTGTATGTCCTCATGCTGGTGGTGTGGGTCTTTGTGAATATGTTCAGCATTTATCCTTTATAGACTACATATGTGTCACTGGTACTACTAACAACCGTGTGCTCGAATACGTTGATCATTTGCATGAGCACTTTATTCATCCTGTTGTTATGAAGAATAGCAAATACACAACACCTCTTGCACCTGGATACTCTATCGAAATGAAGCGTCAGTCTATTGAAGATTATACATTTCCTAATGGCAAGATACATAAGAAGCAGTAATGAAATTTGTGTTTAGAGAGAAAAAATTGTATAAATAAACGTGTTGTATTATTACAAGAATAAATAGGGACATTAAGATTTGTTTCAAGCGAAGCTTTGTAGTTTTTTCTTTTTCCATGTCTCTGTAAATAAAAGAGTATCTGAGGTGTGTTGATTATCTGGTAAGAGCAATAATCACTGCTTGTTAAAGCAGATGTCAAGTGCTTGAAAGAAGATCTCGTGTGCTTCTATTGTTTATTACAATGAACAAGTTCTTTAGGCAAAGCAGCAGACCTTTATATATTTTCTGCATCTGTAAATGTTTTATTATATTTAGAAGACAAAAGAAACGAAATGTCGTCAGAAACGCTGCCTTCAGTCTTTTGTTCATTTGATCCTTAAGCGTAATTCACTATAGTTTATTTAATGCTTATAAGCTCTTTCCTAAAGCATTTATACGCAATTCAATTTGCTCTTTTATTGCCTCGTTTATGTCTATAAGCCCACTCTTTTTAAAGGTAACTCCTTCAGCCTTCCATGATGTACTATACAAGCTTGTTGTTAGCATCCAATTATGACAAACGATATCGTACGCTTCACACATGTTCTTTGGTACACTAGCCATGTACTGTATAACATGCATAATAGAAGTATGAAGTGACTCAAACAAGAATAGATCTGAAGGAATATGATTCATCAATAAACCCGCAGCTTGATGATGCATCTTAATGAATGACAGCATGGCCTTGCTATATATACTCTATAAATAAAGTGTATTTTACTATCCAGTCTTACCAGTGCTCTATTTCCTGCTTCAGATAAACATTCAAAAGGATTTCATTATGCTCAATTATTTGTTCCAAGGAAAGAACCAATTCTTGATAAAAAGGCATGATTAAACATTTTGTGGTACATTTTCGGCTTTTATCCGATTTTTGTTTGCAGACGTAACACGCATCACATGATAAACCGCATTTTCTCTCTTTTTTTATCTCTTTCTTTTTCATTTTTTTCATAAACATAGACCATGCCCCAACGTACACCAAGGAACGCAGTGTATACGCCTTTGCACGAAGACGAAGAAGACGAAAATACTATTCTTTTACTAGTTCATCACCCAAACTCAGTCTTGGTAGCTAATCACCATGGCGAATGTCATGTTGTTCCTCACTTATCGCAAAACTTACAGCCTACACCTCACTCACCCACCAAAAGTTCCTTCTCGGAAGCCACGCGCCGATTTTTTCAATCCAAGCTACCGATTGTCCTTCGAAAAGATATGGCAATAACCGCTGCGTCCTTTGCGTCTTTACCTCCTGTGATTATCGCTGACCTTCAAAATGGAAATATGCCCACGACAACCAATGTCAACGAGCTTGGTTGGGTCATCGTACGCCGAAAACGGTATAGAGGCAAAAATGGTGTAGGAGAAACAAGACATCATCACCAAACCAAATCACCTACACCTTCGCTCTTTGACATTGTAGATGAAGAGATAGACCCTTCTGATCAAGTGACTTGCTCTATATTTGTAAAATGGGAAAAGACAGAAGGAACAGACACCATGACCATGTCTCCTTTATTAAACGAACTAACAAAGCAAAACAAAAAGGATGATAGGGTAACCATGACGCTTTTTTTTTTTTTTTATTTATCACTCATCCTCTCTAATTAGCACTTTAAAGATCCTATACCTGTCACATCGGAAAAGTTCCTGGAAATTGTACAGTCTGTACGTATAGCCATTGAGAATAATATGCAACCTACACGCATCAGTCAAGGCTCCAGTGGATCCTATTTTTGCAGAAACATGGATGGCAAGATCGTGGGTGTATTTAAGCCTAAAAATGAAGAGCCCTATGGTCGGCTTAACCCCAAGTGGACAAAATGGATCCATCGACATCTCTTTCCGTGCTTTTTTGGAAGGTCATGTTTGATTCCCAACCTGGGTTACATCTCAGAGGCGGCGGCTTCTCTTATGGACCGGAAATTAGGAACCAATATCGTACCTTACACGGATGTGATTCATCTGTCCTCGTCATCGTTTCATTATGATTATTTAGATAGAAGAGCCAACAGGAGGCCGCCCAAGATTGGCAGCTTTCAATGCTTTTTGACGAATTACAAGGATGCCACGGTGTTTTTTAAAAGTCATCCTTTTGGTGTTGAAAAAGCTATTAGTAGCCGAGGTAGCACAAGTAGTCTGATCGGAGGAAGAGCTGTCTGGGGCGGGTGTTTGGGGGCCACAGATGAAGTACAGGATGATGATGAGGCTGATGATGAAGGAGAACATAGCGATAGTACACGTAAGAATAGTAAACAAGACGACGGACAATTCAGATGGTCGATGCAGTTACAAAATCAGTTTAGACGTGAATTCGAACAACTTGTCATTTTGGATTATCTCATAAGGAATACAGATAGAGGGCTGGATAACTGGATGATCAAATACTGTCCTGGAAAAAAGAAGAAAAAGGGTAGTAAACACAGTAGTTATAGCAGTCTGCATGAAAATGAGGATGGCGATGAACAAGGTCATATTCATGTTGCAGCCATTGATAATGGACTTGCATTTCCTTATAAGCACCCAGATCAATGGCGTTCATACCCCTATGGATGGATAGCTATGCCTGACTCGCTTGTGAATAGACCATTTTCAGAAGCCACACGAAATCAATTTTTGCCTATTTTGTCAGACCCGCTTTGGTGGAGAGAAACAGTCAGAGAGATGAGGAGCTTATTTGAATTGGATGACGACTTTGATGAAAAGATGTTTCAAAAACAAGTAGCCGTATTAAAGGGACAGGGATTTAACATTGTCAGAGCGTTAAAAGATCCATCATCAGGTCCAATTGATTTAGTAGCAATGGAGAGAATAGTTATCAATCAAGAAGAAATAGTCATTGAATTCAATGAGAAGATATTACAAAGCAGATGTGAATTTGGAAAGAATAAAAGGTCAAACTCATTAGATGCGATATCCAATAGACTTGATACCCGAACAACGCCAATAGAACGAGATCAAACATGGAAACAGAAAGTCAAAAGTAGATTATCAATCGACATTGGACGTTCAGGCAGCTTCTTTAACAAAAAGAGGAAAAGCCATGATAGGGCATTTGATAGTGATGGTGATTTTTCAGAAGATGAAGAAGAAGTCGTGTTAAAGAAAGTAACGGTTATTATGGAGACGATTGAACTTGTAAAAAGCAGAACTTATTTTACTTGCTGGTAAAACAGCGATTAACGTTCAAATACAATGGACTTTTCAAGCTCTTTTCTATGTCTCCATTCAATCAACAATTCATATTTTCTCTTTTTGGTCGATTCAACATATTGAAGCACCTCAAGCAACCTGTCTCTTGCCTTTTTCATGTTTGGCTACTCATAAAGCACTATTATTATCTATAATTATACGCCTTCTTTATATATATACCTGAAATATATGTACACCATACATCGTTGTTACTATTAATTCATCTAATCCATCCCTATTCAAGTCAAGATGGACTATTCGGTATATTGGATATGCAAATTGTCTTTTCCATAAGATGGTATAGAATTGTGTGCCAGTCACTTTTAAAAAAGGATGAGCATGTCTATAGTGTACGATGTACAAACATACCTTGTTTGTAAATGATAACTTGCCTACCATATGTGCCAATCAATATTTCCTTTTCTCCATCCCAATCCACATCCATTACATGAGAACATAACACACTGTCAAAGTTCCCTGATAACGGAAGAGGTTTACTCACTGATAGCCCGTTTGTCTTGATTGATCTGTAAACAATAGCTTGTTCAATTGCACAAGTGACAACCAAGTGGAGTTCATCCGCCTGACTGTGTGATCTAGGTTGGAATATTAAGGTTGATGTGATAGGACTAAATATTTTGATCGCATTCGTTTTTATTTCCTTCCCGTCTAATAAAATATCCTTGCTGTTAATACTTGATGATACAATTATTGTTCATACCTTTATCATAAAATCCCAAGAGTATTTCACCGTTTTGACCGCCTGCACATATAACCCTTTCACCTGTAGGTTGATCAAAAATGTGCATAAAAAGAATGCTAATTGTCAAGATATGAGTAAAAAAGGGATCATAACAAGTTTTTATAAACCTACTTAATCTTGTGGTCTGATACCCTTCCCAGCATTGGAAAGAAGAAAGACGACGTTAGCTCGATGAATTCATCTGATTGAGTACTCTTTAAGACGGTTGAATTATTCTCTCTTTTAACCTCATGACCTATTGCTCTTACCTGAGTATATAAATGAATGATTCCGTCGACGCAAGACAAAAGAAATGCTACTTGACTTCTTCCTTCATGATTTATTCTATTCACATGTACTTTAGCTCAAAAACACAACAATGTATCTCCTTCTCTTCTTACTGTACATGGCTTATCTGCATAGGTGCAGCAGATAATGGTATGACTTGACTTGACTTACTGATGTTAAAGAGAGCCTGCTCCAAAAATGGGTTCTTCAAACTTGATGTATGTTTGTATAAACGTATGTTGTATAATAATCCTGTTTCTTCATTTTCCACATCCACTTTCTATGAAGCAATCTCTGTAAGCAAACAAATACACACTTGTTCATCGATACATGCTTCTGTAATAGCTAGTGCAAGCAGTGTTTTTATTTCATCACCCGTCTTTTCTTCCACAGAGTCAATAGCAATTACTTCAGTTCGTCCTTTTTTAAAATAAGGTTTATAAATATCATACTCTAGTTATATTCTGTAATGCATTCTACCTGCTTCTAAGCCTAAAGATATATTAAGACAATTCCAATATCCATCACGAGAAATAAACGCTGTTATTTCTGAAGACGAAGCAGCTATAAAGTGACGGATAGGTTTTGACAAAACTAGGCTTTGATATTAAAAAGAGAGAGCTGCAATAGGGTTATGATCTACGTACATTGAGCATATTCGGTAGATGGTGGTTCAGGTAATTTATCAAGTCGAGTCGAAGGGAATTCTTCTGATCTGTCAACATATGTCAGCAGTTGTGAATCAAGTGCTACTAGTCCATAGATGTTGCTAACCAAAATATAAGTTCATATTCATTTTTGAGTGATCCTTATTACGTTCTTTCATATCCATATCGTGCATAATGTATTTCATCAAATAAGAGATTGTCATCAGCAGTAGTTAGATCGTTGAATGACATTTAACAAAGAAACAAACATGAACTGCTGCAAGTTCATTTTTGGACTTGGCGCACTTTAAAAATATGCTTTACAGCTTTATTTTTTCAAGCTTGACACATTTAACTTTCTTTCATAAAATATCCAACACAGCTATTTTTTAGTCAAGAAACTATATTAAAGAAAAGAAAAAAAGGATTTCTTATGCTTTTAACCAATATCTTGATAAAGATTTGTTTTCTTTCTTTTCTCTTTTGTAAATTTGGAACGGATAAACATATTTTCCTTCAAATAAAAAGAATTAACTCTTTCCATTTTTATTTTCTATTTTCTATCTTTTTCCCTTCTTTCTTTTTCTTGTCATATATGCTACCTTCGTATTTATGGATAACATGATGGTCAAGGGTAACACTGAAGATGGATTTTATAACAGGTCAAAGCCATCACGGCATATATCTCTATTACACAAGTCAAAGCCAACAGAGCTTCAGTTGTGGTTGAATAGTAGACAATCTAGAAGCATATCTGTTCCTGACTTAAATAAACTCAAGAAAGAGTGGACTGCATATCAAGAAGCACATAGTAATTCACACGATACGAATACACTGCAGGCAAGTTATGATCAAATCATGTTTGGTTTTGTATAATCTAAATAAAGAAATTATGCATCCAAAGGTTGACCTGTTAAATATAAGATCTTATATAAAAGTCAAAAGACCACAAATGAGAGTAAGGATGGGTGCTGATCAATATTTTTCCAATTATGCGGATACCCCAACAGGCGAATGGAACGAAGGGTTCATATTCAGAGTATCATATCATGCCCAGTTATTCAATACTATCGAGGTACGTTACATAGATATATATATATATATATACATGCATACGCTAATGGTAAAAAAGTTTGATTTGTATGATAAACCACATAGAGTATGGCCATCTGCTATGAAACACGTAGGTAAAGCAAAGTTGAAACTATCGAGTCTCTCTGGAAGAGAAAAGATATTCGTAACGTAAATAACCCCCTTTGCTGTTTTTTATACAACATGATCTAATTTTACTTTATTCAAGCTTTTTACCTATTTACGAATATCGTTCGCATCGTTTGCTACCAGCAGATTATAAGCCAGTCTTGTCCAGTATCATTGATAAAACTACTATTTCCAAAAATGTTGGAGATCTTCATCTAATAGGATCTGTACAAGTTAGAATCAGATATCAATTTCAACATCCTGTAGACTCACCAAGATCCTTGCCAAGTTTATCAGAAAAGGGAGATACAGCTTCCTCGCAACTTTCTATAGCCAGTAATAGCAGTGACATATCCTTTCACTCAGAAAATCAAGCGCAAGAAAGAAGGACATCATATGGTCGAGGCGACTTGGTACGAAACCAGAATGACGTGAGTGAGATATTCCACAAAAGATTAACTCGCATCATGTCTACTCGTATACCATCCGAGCAAGATACTGTAAATGACATCCATGGCGAAACTGTATACAATACATATCCTCGTCATGAATCGTCGCAACTTCCGTCTCGATCGTCATCTCAAGAACATATGAATCAAAGACATACTCAGGAACATCATCATCACATTTACTGGCTTTTTAAGTCATTGAACGATTTCCCAAAGTCAACTAGAGGCAGACGTTATGGATTCTCGCAAACAGATTCTGATGACCATATTCATTTTAATCCAGACAATATGGACAGTGCATCTCATAAAGAACACCACAAAGCCAGCCATAAGGCGCGTAAAAAGGCAGAACATATTATTCATAGCGTCAATTTTGGTGATAGAAACTTTGCTTCACAGTGGATGCAAGACTCATTTGACGATGTTGCATTATCCCATCCTATGGTCGACAAACTGATTGGTATGGTGGTTAGTAAACAAACGAGAGCCATGGTCAGAGCAATCATCAAAACAGCAAATGCATTCGGACAAGGATTTCGAGCCACTGGACTTCAGATGCTGAAGGCAGCGTTAATCATTCAAAAGTTTTACGAGCTGCAACCGATGCCACCTTTTTCAAAGCCTATACAGAATATAGCCTTCATCGATGATGCTTGCCATTACTTTGATTTTGCATTGATTGCTTACGGATGGCGCGGACTATGTTACTTGGGCGCTTACGGTCAGTATGTGCGTGGATTCAAGGATCGTAGGTCCAATAGAATGGCAATTATTCGATATTTACAACTTAACCCAGAAGATCTTCTTGGCTATGAATATTCATTACGCAAAGGTGCCTCCTTTCAACCTAGTTATTATGTAGCTATCGATCGTTCGCGAAAGGCTATTGTGTTGAGTATTCGAGGAACATGGAGCCTCTATGATGCAATTACAGACCTCGTGTGTGAATATGTCCCCTGGAAAGGCGGGTTAGTTCATTCAGGCATGTTGGCGTCTGCTCAGTGGTTTTATACAGGCCTTATACCTCAAATATTTCGATATATTTACCATCATAATGAAGAATTAGAGCGATTCATCATTACTGGACACTCATTAGGAGGCGGCACTGCAAGTTTATTGATGATGATGGTTGCAAATCACGTAGATGAACTACGAAGTCTGACAAACAACCCTCTATTTGATGTTCATTGTTACAACTACGCCCCAGCAGCAGTTTGTTCGGCCGACCTGGGAAAAAAGTATGAGCAATTTATTGATAGTTTTGTTTGCCATGATGATATAGTAGGGCGGTTATCATATGGCTCAGCTATGAAGTTAAAGGAGCTGATATTAGACACGATAAGTACTTACACTACATTAGGTGGTTTTAGAAAGGCAAGTGTCAAGTTCCTTGCTTATTAGAACTTTATACTTAGAATTTTTATAGACATTGGCGCATGCAGAATCACGGAAAGTCTGCTTTGACATTATCTGCGAACGACTGAAGAAGCTGAACAATGTGTCAGAAACGATGTATCCATCTGTAGGTTATAAGTATTCTAACTATGCTTTATACATAGCTGATATAATTACTTTAGCTATATATACCTGGTAAAGTCATCCAGATCCTTCGTGCTAAAGAGAGTAAACTTGGTAAATTTCAAAATAAGGATGAAAATGAAGACATGTTCAAAATAAAAAGTCGGCGAAGCTCAGTAACTGTGGTGGAAAACGTTTCAAAGCATATTCCTGGCACAGCTAAAGTACATTATACTTTACATTACATAGCATCAGCTATAAGTGATGAAATGACATTGACAAAAACATGTATTGAAGATCATATGATATCTGCATATCAAAATGCTTTTGCATCTATCAAAGACCATTATTTGAAAGATGATTAGAAGCTACCTTTTTTTAAAAAACAAATAAGCACAATAAAATGACTGTATTATTGTGAATATGTATGGCCATAAGCTTCTTATGGGTTACTTGATTGATTTTTCTTTATCCATTCCTGATTGTTAGTGATGATTACATGTCATTGAGCATAGCCATGTTTGCTTTTGTTTTAAGCATTTTTATTTGTAATACTAAGGGCCCTGCAAAAAGGATGTGATATTTCTTGTGCTTATGTGTATATAGAACAGTAGGTGTCAATAGCTAACAATTACTATTTTTATTATAAGTCTGAGAGAAGAACTAATAAATGAGGGTACGACCTGAATATATATGAGGGATGACGACTGTAAATGTCTGACGTCGTCTATTAGCTGAGAATGAATAAATAGAGAATTAAGAGATGTGTGATCTATGTAAACACGACATCACCCCCTTCCAGTTGATATCAACGTTGGAGAGACATTGAGAGTGTTTAAACAATGAAGAATTAATTTTTTGTAGTGCGCTTACGGCGTTTGAATGTATTATTTGTTGCTGCAACATTTGCTAGCGCATTATTGGCATTTGTTCTTCTTTTAGCGCTATTACGCCCCTGAATACTGGCCGTTTCTTGTCCTTGCCCTGTGGAAGGCTTGTTACTATTATGTCTAGTATTTCTCTTGTTTGTAATTCCAGATGTCTGATTGCGTGACATCACTTTTGAACTTGACTGCTCATTTGCAATTTCAAATAGTTTTCCAGGCTTGTAGTCTGAGGGTAATTTTTGTTTCTTTTTTCTTTCATCATTGCCTTTCTTGTTGACAACCTCATCTTTCTTATTCAGAGATTTACCCAGTTTGCGCCAGTAATTGTTTATGGATTCAGGATCAGTAAATGCATCAGAAGTTAGCCAACTATCATCGTCTTTGCTGTAATTCTTCCAGCGTACGAGATATTCTCTATTTCCAGGTTCACCTCTGTGATCGATAATTGCTTCGATTTCGTATAGTTCATCTCTTGGAATGATCTCATCCTGTGAAATAAGCTTCAACTCTTCTGGAGAATAATTTCGCGACATGAGAGTTTCATCAATATCACGAAGAATACAAGAACCACCTCGTGTTTGACGTATAACTCGGCATGGTCCTTTGAAAGCAGGTGAGAGACTATTTGTTTGCTCTCTGTCACGTACCATAACGTAACTCCCTTCAGGGAATGACAACTGACGGTTTTTGCTGTCAGCCTTTTCCTTTTGTCTGTCAGTATAGATATCGGTTTTATCCTGGATGGCGGGGAAGACAACTTGTGACATGTAGTCAATGCGTTTCAGTAATTCATCGTGCGGCATGTATTCTTTTTTTAGCTTATTTCCAGCGTCATCTCTATAGTCAATGTAGTCATTCATATTGCGAGCGAACATTAGAGAGAATGGGGTAGATTGCAGTCTTGTTGAGATCTTATTGTTAATCACCAACTGCACAGCTGGAATGAAATGATGCCAGTCACCAATAGCACCTTCCAATACTTTTGCCAATGTTTTCTTGGCAGTTTGGTCATAACGTTCAGCCGCACCATTAGCTGAGGGATGGTAAGGAGTGGTGTATCTCCTGTCAATACCCATTGCATTGAACATGTTCTCTAGAATCTCATTTTTGAATTCTGAGCTATTGTCACTACATACAAAGTGTCTAGGATAACCAAGTAAGGAAAATGTATCAACCATGGCACCTGCAACGGTTTTAGCCTTTTTGTCTACTAGAGGCTTCAGTACGCAGAACCTAGTGCAGATGTCGACTAGAATTAACACATATGTATACTTGTTACTACATGATTGGAAAGGTCCCATTAAATCAAATGCGTAGGCATCTCCAGGAACATATGCGTAGACAGGTCGATGAGGATTGTAATCCTTTCTAGCAATATTGTACTTTTGACAAGTATTGCACTTGCTTACATAGTCAACCGCATTGTCGTATTTGTTGTATTTGGATTTGGATAGGTTTAAACAAAGTAGAAAATACGATGAAACTGTGTTGTATCTTTATTCAGAATAAAATAAAAAGAAAAGAGATGATAGCACAATCTATAATTATATATTAAGAAGCTGAGGTATTTAAACTGAGTTGGCTATATTTGATTAAGGTGTAAC